AAATCTACACTGTACCAAAAGAACCTTTAAACAACATGCATTATTAAGTTAATTTATTAAATAGTGTATCATATTAGTAAATGAGTGGTGGAGCTACGAACTCTCTGGCTTATAAGAAAATAAGTCAGCTAAAGTAAAAATATATAAGTGTGAGATATAAAAAAAATTTTAAGTGAATAAAATTTTGTATATGATTTGAACCTTAAGAATAATTGCTTCGAAATATTACTTTACTCTTAGCTTATTACCAAGGAATAGATGGTGGGATTTATTACTTTATCAAGTATAGATATAAGCACTTTTACACAATTAAAATCCATATTCTTATCTACCAACCGATTTTACTCTGTATATTTCACATTTATGCATTCAGTGGCAATGCTTCACAATGGTTTGGAATATGGCATACTTTTTTACTATTATCTAGTTGCCTGAGTGCTCCAATTACTAAAATGCTTTGAATGTTTACTTATCCTACAAGAAATCACATAGAATTGGTTTAGTACTAGTTTATCAGTAACTAACTTGGCTGTGTCAGATGCCAAATGAAAAACAAAGAAAAGAACTAGCTCTAAATTCTTTGTATTATTTGAATTCAAAAAATGTGTGAAAACTTTCAAAATTCAGAATGTTTCTGGCAGTAATAATTAGTTGTACAGTGTATGCTACACGGAGAAGCAATGAACTAAGATGATGTTTGAAGTATAGTAGCTATTCATATAACATTTCAACTTAAATTCTCACTATAAGTGGGTTGACATTGTTGTCGCAACTTGGTCTTGTTTTAAGGGAGACAATGTAGAACGCACCTAGTCCGAAGTCGTCTTCCATAATAGTTGTCATGATTCCCAGCATCTGACAGTGGACTTGATACATTCTCAAACGTCAGATGCTGTGAATCATGACAACTACTATGGCAGACGACTTTGGACTAGGTGCGTTCTACATAGTCTCCATGAAAACAAGACCAAGTTGCGACAACGAGGTCAACCCACTTCTATAAATCGAAAGGAGACTGCGACCATAACAGACGCCATAACATCTTGGTCTTTATAACTTCAATTAAATTCTCACTGTGGTAAATAAATGGATTGTTATGAATAAGTGGTTTCTAGAGATTGCACTGATATAGAATCTCTTTGCTAGTATGTCCATTTTTCATGTGATAAACTTATCCCAAAGGCAACTCAGTTGCCAACATCTGGTTGTAGATACGAATAAAACTTGTTTTCGATGAAGCCCCTGAGCTAACGTTGTTGGGAGGACTTTTATTTCGTATTAAAATGCATGAAGAAGAGATTCGTAGGTCGATCTCACCAGAAGAGGAATGCTGAATACTGTTGTACTGTAGCCGTTTGGCTTCAATACGCCGTTCAGGTTGATTCAGTCCACGAGACCTCCGTCGTTTAGGGTGAAAACGGGCTGAGCTTTCGTCCATCATGTGATAGACATCATCAGAGTGGGATCGCATTCTTGTAAAATTCTCACGATAATACCAGAGCAATAAGACTATTCGACTCTATCTTACCTTTTATATAGACTCAATTAAGCAAGAGAAAAAAAACAGATAGATATATAATGGTTTGGTTAATTATCTTTCATACTGGTCGGGCTACATTTGTCCGAGTGTGTGTATGTGTGTGTGTGCGTGTTAATGTCTATACGCAATATCGGTCCTAAATCAGAGTGATTAAAAGTCTAATGTCAGGCTCTGGTCATCAAGCCTTAATGACCCAAGAGAAAGCACTGACCGAGACTGATTAAGGTTGTAAGCAAGTATGGTAGAGGTAATGAGATGTATTCTTGTAAGCATGTAAGTCAAGTTACGTAGCCACTTGCCTTAACCTCTTAGTCTAGGGTCATTAACATCTCATAGATCTCTTATTAGGGTCACTAACGTTCAATCACCCAAGGGAAGGCATGACTAGGGCTGCGTAATCTGGCACGTATGGTTTGGTTGATGAGCTTTATCTAACATTTTGGACGAGTTTAAGTGAAGTGACAACCATCACCGAGCAGTCAATTTGAATCGCATTCTTTTGGACGGCGGCTCAACGCCCACTCTCCCCTTTAATCTATCAATCAAGTATAAATAGTTACTACTCAACTTTCTACCACCGTCACTCACATTCAACGTATTTCCTGAGATATTAATTTTAATAGCCCCTCTTATCATTCTTTTAACCACAGACGTACCATAATCAGCAAACCTACTAGTTCAAGACTATTCTATTTCATATTCAGTTTCTACCTTGTGTTTGGCCACTTCAGACCGTTGGATCCAATTTTCTTTACAAGCAGTCTGTGTTCCCTCAATCTTTGTCGAATAGGTGGACATGTCTCACCAACATAACATCGACCAAATGAGCAAACAATCTTGTAGCTGCCAGATCTCGATAATGGGTCATATTTCTCTCTAAAAGATGGCATAACTGAAGAAAGTGTGAGGGTTCCTTTAAACACTTTTTTATGCCCCACTTTCTTACTAATTCGCCTAACTTTTTTGAGAAAAGGCATGACGGCAAAATTAGGACATGAGAAACGTTCTTAGCTTGTCTAACTTTGACTAAATGGTCTCTGTCTAACAATCTATTCCTCAGTAAAGAGATATTATTCTCTATGAGGCCCAAAAAATAATTATTTTGCAGGAATAGAATTTGCAGCCGTTCTAACTCTTTAGTCAAATGTTTGCAATTCGCTATCCTCCTACTCATAATAATCATTGATTTCAAAATTTCAACCTTAGATTTGTACGTATGGTTCGATAGAAAATTCAGAAAAGAGCCAACATACGTTGTCTTCTTATAAACATCTCTTCCTTACTTACCCCGTTCTCTAATGTTCAGAACACCCAAAAAGGGTAGGGAACTATCCTCTTCCATTTCTATTATGAAGCTAATGTTCCTTCCATATTAATTAAGGGAAAGTAGGAAACTATCTAAGCTTTCCTTATCATGAGGCCTGATCACAAAATAGTCATCCGTGTATCTAACCCACAATTTATGGGTTAGTAGTGCCTTTTCCAAATTGTGTTCCTCAAGGTTGGTCATATAGTTGTTTGTCAAAGTGGGAGCCTAGCAAGATTCCATCACAAGTCCTTGTGTCTGCTCATGAAACTTGCCATCATAGGTAAAATAGCTGATACTCATCTATATGTTAAGTTGTCTAAGCATGGAGGCTAAAGTTAACCTTATTCCTTCTATGATCTCTGGATGCTCCTACAAAGTTTGTGCTAGAGCTTGAATGACTTCTTAAACAGGAATGTTTGTGTACATAGACACATCAAAACTTACTAGCCTATCCTCGTATGAAAGTGTCTGCTTATCAATCAATTGCAAAAAATCATATGAATTTTTAACCGAATATTGCTAAAACTTGGCAAATTTCCTTAGTTGTATGCATAAAAACGTATGCATCACACTTCCTTTGTTACTTGCTCTTAATTTAAGAGGGACATCCTTTTGTGAACTTTAGGGAGACCGTAAGCCATGGGGGCCCTTGCCTCTCTCTGGAGTAGATAATTAATTTTTCACTTCTCAATTTCACCATTAAAAATGCATACCTTGAGGGCATCCTTCAGCCTAGACTTAAGTCTTTTCGTTTGATCTCTCAGTAAAGGCCTATACCTGTCAGTGCTATTTAAATGAACTAGTATTTTTACTAAACAACTTGACCTATCCATGACTACCACTGTTCAACCTTTGTCAGCTTTGATAACAATAATGTTATGGCAATTTAATTATCCAGAAATACTACTTAGAACACAAGATTGCTTTGGCGTGATTATTTGGTCAAAATGAGGAATCACCTCCGACTCATTACTATTCTTCATCTCTTCAGGCAATCTATCAGATAAACAAGTATGTTCAGAGAATGGTTTATTTCATTTGGAAGAACAAAATGTAATCCTGCTTCCAATGAAAGTTCACACTATCTTCCAGAGGTATATTGGATAGATTAATTAAATTATCCTTCGCTAGTCTGTTACAAACAAGATTACTACGTCTTACCTTAAGCTCAAAGTTTCTCGACCTAATTGTAATTCCTAAGTTAATAAGTTTCTTATCATGTATCCGCCAGTCACTCTATCCTTGGCTTCTCCCAACCCGTCAGCCATATCCGGTAACTTAAGGAAATCCACATCAGTCCGTACCTTAGAAAGAAATTGTTTAAGCCTGATTTTGGTTCTAATTAGTTCGTATAGCCTGTTAATGCTTTTCGTGAGTTTCGTTTTAACCAAACTACTCGATACCTGATCACGTTGCATATTAGTGCACTTCGGTAGATTAAAATTCTACCAAGTAAAAGACAAATTTAAAAAATCTAATTATATTAACTTGCCGAGTTATAGTCTTCTTAAGTATAGGGTAGAGAGAACCATACGTACATTGTAGATATCAAGAGTAACTGGGTTTCGATGAATGTCTTGAGATAACGTTGTTGGGGGGACCTTAATTTCTTATGAATGTGCATAGCAAAGAGATTCGAAGACTACGGTTGAATCCTGTTGTACTGCAGCCGCTTAGCATTAATACGATGTTCAGGGTTATGCAATCCAAGAGGCATCCTCCCTAGCTTCGGGTGGAAACGGGCTGAGGTTTCGTCTCTCATATGATGGAAATCATTCTTTGAAATACTCACCCTAACACTAGGTCAAGAAGACTATCCGGCTCTATCTTACCTCTTATATATACTCATAACTAAAAACGAAAATGAGTACGCATAGATAGATATAGGATGGTTTGGATAATTATCCTTCACACTGATCCTACTACTTTTGCTCGAGCATATGTGTTTGGGTGTGAATGTATGTTAACGACTATATGCAGTACCGGTCCTAAATCAGAGTTCTCAAAAACGACTACTCTCAGGCTCTGGCCATCAAGGCTTAATGACCCAAGAAAAGTCCCTGACCGAGACTGCGCAATTTCGTATGCAACTGTGGTTGAGATAATAAGGATATAAACTTTGGCATAAAGCCTACTAGATCCATTTATATGTAAGGAATTATACATTTAATTTTAGGCGTCCTGAATATATTCTCTGATTATCTCGCTGCGAAATAACGGGTTCTGTGCAAAGCGGGGCTCGAGACAGGCATTATTTTCACTAATCGTACAAACTTTCAAGAAACAATTAGCAGATTTCCTAAGTTTTTACTGGTTGTTCAGTAAGACAAACCAGAAGGAAGCCACACTAAATAATGATGATAATAATCACCCCAAAGTACTTGGCATATAATTAAGCCTCATTTGTTTTAAAAAAAGGATGATAATTTGTAAAACTAAAGCATATGGGAATTTTAGATATTATCTTAATTTTCAACATAAAACCCTGTGCTTCCCTTGGATTTGTTTTCTTACTTTCATTTATATAATATGGCGGCATCACACTATACTTTTCTCTTATTATAAACTTTATAGATGTTATCTTCTAAGCCCAAATCCACATGAATTTTGCAATAACGAGTCAACTATTCAAATGGTTTTATAAATCAATAGCATTTAATACTCCCGAATCTTCGCTCTAAACCGAAATAATAATCATTTTCAAACAATTATTCATAACAATAAAATTATACAATGCATAATGATACTAACTTGTCCATATTCATGAAAAAATCGAGATGATTTGGTTTAGTCTTGGCAACTGAAAAAATTTAGGATTAAATACTGACTATGTCTAATTTGGGGATACGCAAGATTTTTCTGGCAAGAATTCCACAGTACTGAATTCATAGTACTGAAGCAAATGAGATGATAAGTGCGCACGGAAGAATCGGTGAGTGAAAGATAAATATATGATATAAAGAGGTCGGAAGTCCCCTATAGAGCTGCAACCAGGGCTTAAGTGATGCATGACGGAGTCATTAAAATTAGTAGTAAGAAGATAAGGAACTGAAAAATATACCAGTCTATGCAAATAATTATTTTATCTTAGATACATAGCCAGGATTAAAGGCGAGTAGTGCTTTAGTGAACCAAGGAATCGTAGAAAGCAACATAGGTTCTATCTGGTGAACACATATAAAGACACGAAATAAGATAAGATATAAGCAACCTGTAATAATAATTGAAACGAATTAGATAACTTAAGTCTACGGTAAAACATTTTATAAATCTAGATCAGCTAATTAAACCGAGGCTTGCTACAGTGAAAATTAGTGAAATATATTCCTTTATGGTTAAAACAATCAGGAAAATATAATAAATTATTAAGATGATAAAGAAAGGGCGCCTATGTTACTGACAGCTAAAAAGTGTAAAGACAATTTCCCATTGCAAGCTGATCGGCAGAAGCTGTGGGGTTAAAGATGATTTATTCAGGAAAGATATTTCAAAATAATCATTGAAACAATTTAAAGAAAGAAAATTTATTCAGGGGGTTCATCTGTTAGATTTAGGATATGAAATTAAAGGCTAAATATATTGGTGGGCAAGA